GATGCTGGAAAAAGAGTGCCTGGGTCGGCTGCAACGATGGCAACGTTTGACGGCGATACGGACGCTAGATGGTAGGTCGAAGGTAGCTGTGATGCAATCAATGCGATGGGCGCTTCTGGAAATTCGACGTCAGGCCTCCACCACCCGGCGCAGTGCAGGTGCAGGTAGGCAGGCGGATGCAAGTGCAGGTGCAGGTGCAGGTGCAGATGATTCGGCTCGGCTTGGCTTCGCCGCTTCAGGCTGGTGAACCCCACGGGGTTGTGGACAGGCTAAGAACACTCTCTGCGCAACAGTGCAGGACGTGGACGTGGACGTGGACGTGGACGTGGACGTGACAGGCGCAAGGTTGGAGAGCCTTTCGGGCGAAGGGGAATATCGAAGAACGTGGCAATGGCCGCCTCTGGTTGGACGGACGGATCGACTGCGTTTGATGCCACCACCCGAGAACAGAAAGGCAGGCGACTGGGGTTGTGAGTTTTGAGTGGGTTGCGACACTCAAATGCCCTTCCCTCCTGCTTGGCGGCTGACTGACTGACTGACTTCCGAACGGCGCCGAGGGGTGTGCCGGCTGGGTGTGAGTGCGTGCTTGTTCTTTGCTCGTGAAGATCCTCCGGGGTCTGCACTAACGTCGGCCGAACAGGACGGATGATAGTCTGGCCTAGAATAGACTTCCCCAGCAATCCCGAAGAGTTCCGACGTGTTGGCCTTAAACACGATGAGAGGCTGCTATTGCTATCAAACCTCATCCAAAACCATGAATTCCAAACGGCGCGGCGTCAGTCGAGGACCAAAAAAAGAGAGAAAAGAGGGGAAGATGCAGAATGCGGGCAATGATTCATTCCGGGATGGGCTTATTGGAGAAATCGCAAGGGTCGCAGGGTGGACAGGGGTTGCCGCGGCGGGTTGAAAGTGGGAAATGTGGAGGACGTTGGAACGGGGATAGCTTCCCCTAGTGCGAGGTGACGATGAACGATGGCAGACAGAGAGTCCAAGACCGAATGTGACTTGTAACCCTGTCGGATCCCAGACTGCGCTATTATTGAAGTTGCTGCCCACTTTGACTCGCTGACATGTGCCCAGTTGGCAGCCAAGAAACCACGGCGATCAGGACCAACGGGAAGTCTGTCAAGTCTTGGGTCGCTTTACTCACAACGCTTGGTGCCGACTTGGGGTTTGATTGGTATGCGGGGCCTTTTCGTGTGCTTCTCTCCCGCGAGCCGAACACAACACTGCGACTTGTGTGATTTGAGATTCTGCTGATGAGTTGGCAATAGATAAGGAGTGAGAGGGTGCTGTGCTATATGTGTCGAAGAAGTCTATCATCCGGCAATCAACACAGTAGCTATGCAACGCACTGAGGCGGCGGAAGCCATTGAATCATACCAAGCCTCCTGTGTTGCGATTTTTCCATATCCCCGAGAGACTCACTCCCCTTACTACTGTCCAGAGGCGAACGTTGATGGATCGGTGATGCATAGCGACTTCTCTTCAGCGGGCTGGACCGCCCCAATCGACGCCAACGCGCTTCTCCGGGCCAAGACCGGACCAAAGACCAGCCCGAGCTCTGAGGTTCTCTGATTGCCGGTGACATTTCCTCCCCGCTCAAGGTGTTCGGATCAAAGGACCAAGACGTGGTGGACGGCACGACGGGAAGGTCGCTAACTGTGAGTTGTGGATAAGGGCCGAAAACGGCTGGCGCCTAGGTGCCCTGGGGCACCGCTGCCCAGGCCTGTTCCCCCCCACGGCCTCCTTGTCAGTGGGCTCGAAACCCGTCCCTACGGGTCACAACAGCAGTCAACTGCATGCGCCTAACGTGCGCTTAGTGGCTGACCCGTTCCGCTGCCAGCTGACGCTGAGATGGGATCATTTGCAGCCCGTCTGGTTGGTCCGTTGACAAATTCGAGAGACCGTCCGCCAGACCAACTCGCCGTTTTCTCCCTCCGCCGAGAAATTCCCGGCGTTGCGGAACCTGGGGTGCCGGTGACACAGCATTCCACGTCTTTGTCCCCCGCCATCTTGATTGCATTTGATCCATCTTGCGTCGTCTTAGCTCCTGCTCCGATTCCCGAGTGCAACCCGGTGTCATCGCCACATTGCCCGGGAGAGCAGCGGGAACTCGGCCTTGGATGAGTGCAACTGTCCCGTTCGGCCCCACTATTGATAACCGGCCGGGCCGCCGGATCAACCAGGTCATCGTTGCGGACAGTCTCAGCAACCAAAGACATGATCTGAAAATAGGTTGCATGACATGTTTCAGCTACAGAATCCTGTGTAGCATTCGACTTCTCAACCCAGTGGTTCTTGCCAATAGTAAATGCTTCTTGCCGTCCAATTTTATCTTACTTACACCCACAGTGGCGCAAATAGTATAGGGGCTTGTACAAGCAAATACTATGCGACCAATATTCTTTAATAAGCATGAGTGATCAAGCCTGACGAAGCGTGCGTCGTCCGATAACTATCCCACATTGTGATTGCGCCCCGTCTTCCCCGTAGCTCACATTCTTGATCTTCGGGGCTGGTCGGTACGAGATTTTTGTGCCTTTTATGAGGCCTAATTGTACGTTCGTTCAATTGCCAGCTCACTGGTAGTAAAAGAATATGAGCATTTCTGCTTCGGGAACATTCACAACACTAAGGTTAAATGACATGCCTTGTAGCTGCTATGATTTACCCTGCATTTCGTCATTAGTCAACATCAAATTGGAAATGTATTAGAGATCGATCACTTACATCTACTATGTGAGCCACTGCATTGCCGTTCGGCTCTGAAGAGATGTTATTCTGCAAATGGCAAGCAAACATGCTCATTCTTCTGGAACACTGCCTGACTTCGAGACTCCAGGTCAGCATGGTCCATGTTGACACAAAAGAACGTTTCTGATTCTGATATCCACTTTGGGGAAGCCTGTAGTGTTCGGACGGATAGGTAAAGTGACAGAGATGATGGGAATCATCAAGGATAATAAGTGTTGAAATAAAGATAGTGACAACGACGAGAACTATGACGATATGAACAAGACCGGAAATACAAAAAAAACCAAAAACAAAAAAACAAAAAAAAAACCCCGGCATTACAGGGGTGAGAAAATGAGTGAAGTAACTGGTCCAACTCGCGGCCTGCTTATCCAAAACCCTCCGCTCGGATAGTAAAATTCTTTTAGAATACCAGGCGTGTATAGTAGACGTCAGCATGAGCCCAAGTTGGGCATTTACAAAACCAACCCGCAAGCTGCAGACGATTGTCCCACCTTAGCTCAGGGCAAACCGCGAGGCACAGTGATGACTTGGCTTCTAGATCGTGTAGATCAAGTGAACAAAACGGTTTGGCAGTGACCTCATACTCAAGGTATTCTCGCATAGAATGCGAAAATTTACGCAACATGTTTTGGAATGCTGGCTGTCAATGTGCGCTAACACTATCTGCAACAAGCGCTGGGTGAGCCCGTGGCTATGTCTGAAGGTAGGTAGTATGCGGAGTGTAGCTCAGTAGGCCTTCGCTCGAGATCAGCACATATGCGAAACTATCCGACTAGCTTCGAGATGGGGCTTGCGACAGTAGATGGAGATCACGAGCAATGCGAAGCCACGTGTGTCAACTTCAGGCACCAACTCCGCCTGCCGGCTTTCGCTCGATTTGGAGACACAAAACGGTGGACTACTGATACGCAACTCATTCCGCGATTCGATGCCGTAGCGCTCGATGAGAAAGAAGTAACCCACGTGGCCATACGATTGTTCTGTTTGTCAGCGGGAAACAAATCAGCTTACATGAGAGCTTTGGATATGCGACTTGGGATGAACAACATATTTCCTACATGAGATGACAGATCTCATCTGCTGAAGTGCTTCCTTTCACACCGGACGTTTCGACCAAAAAGAGACCAAATTCCAGCCGTTGAAATGAAGTGACTCAACCTCAGTTGAATCACAAAGTCGACATGCGGAAGTTCCTTTGGCGTGCCGAGTTCCGAGAAGCGATGCGAAGTGGAAAAGAACTTCGGTGTAAAGAGGCGCAGTGCTACCTGAGCGATTCCCTTTTGGGCATTCGATTCGAGGTCCACGCGCGTGGTTCAGCGAGATAAGATGCAAGGAGAGTCCAAACGGTAGCGTCGTAAAGGCGGAGTTGTATTACCCCATGCGAGAGATGCACGTCAGCCGCATGTCGTCCACAACGACGAAGCTTAGCGGACTGCCTGCCGGGATGATTTGGTGAAGATGCAGTCAAAGGATCGAGGAGATGCGCCCTGAGCCAAGGCGGCAGGACCCTTCGAGCTGCCACTGCTCCACCCTCGCACTCGCTTAATTGCTAAGCTCTTCTTCCTGCGGGGCCATTATTCTGATCGAGCCTATCTACTGGCTGAAATGCGATAAGGCTGGTCATGCTGGCCCAAGCTCCAAAATGCTTGTCCTCTCCCGGCAACGCCTCGTGGACGGGAAGGGCGACGTACGAATGCGACGAAAGCGACGGAGTCTCCCCATCTGGCACCTTTCACAAGGGCTCGGGCTGTGCTGTTGCGTCTTCCTCATTGCATTCTCTGCCATTCATGGGGCTTGAGCATGGCTGTCGCTCTCCCCATTGCACATCGCCAAAATCATGGCGGCAACCTATTCCGATAGGCCATGTCGTTGGCCTCCCTGCCTGCTCCCCTCGCGCATTCGACTAGACTGGTCGTCTTACCCGTCCGGTGGCTGATTTCATTAGTGATGGATCTGAGAACCTGGTCTCCGAGTGGATGGTTCTTCATGTAAGTTCCCTTACCTATGTCCCTTCGGGCGTAAGGTATATATAAGGCGTCCATGTCTCTGATCTTATTGAATTATGCTCACCAACATCAGCCATCTCTTTGTCTAGACTCGAGGCTCTTAGCAACAGCAGCATATCATATAAGCCTTCCGTCCCACTATCAAAGCTTATTCCGCAACTTTACTCGACTACTTCAGGGCTTTCCTGCAGCTCAAAATCTGTCTTGAGACGAGGAAGGACAATTATCGCCGACATGGTCTTCATCTACTTGGGTAAAAAGGCCTACCGCGCTATCCAGGCCAAGAAGAACGCCAACCAGACAAAGACAGCAAATACACCGAACGCCGCTATAGCTGAGGGGGAAATTCCAGAGGATGTCGCCAGCGAGGGCGCCACCGACCAACACATCGGCAGTCAGGGCAAGGTAGAACGAACGACGAGCAACTCAACATGCAACCACCAATACGACACGACAGCTGGAGCATGTCCGACCTGCAAGTCTGAACGCAAGGCACGATTGGTCTACAGAGTCAGGATCTTCGCAGGCCTACTTCTGCCATTCGTGCTGCAAGCTCTGGATGTCACTATTGTTGCGAGTGCACTTCCTTGGATCGCAGCCGACTTTCGTCCGTCACTTTCCGCCTAGATCCTGCTATGAATGCTCAGCTAACAGATCGGCAGGTGAAACTAGTCAGCTGAACTGGATCATTGCCGCCTTCAACCTCACATCCGCTGCGTTCATTCCCTTCTGGGGCCAAATTGCGGATATTTTTGGGCGTCACACCTCCCTCCAGACCTGCCTGGTCCTGATGCTCATCGGCAGTGCGCTTTGCACCGGAGCCCCCACCTCCGCCTACGCCGTGCTCCTCCTCGGCCGCGCCTTTCAAGGACTCGCCTGCGCTGGACTGAATGTTCTGGTTCGAATCTGCATCGCAGACCGAGTGACGCTGCGCGAGAACGCCAAGAACTGGTCCATCTTCTCCTTCTTCGGTGGTGTCATCGGCTGGGGACTTGGTCCTCTGATCGGAGGCCAAATCACTTCAAAGTCTCACTGGAGATGGTGCTTCGGACTCAATCTGCCCATCGCTTTCGCCAGCATGCTCATCATCTACTTCGTCCTCCGCTCCGAACTTCTTGGGCCTCAACCGATTCCCCAGCTTGATGAGACGACAGAAACGGGCAGACGCACCACCTTTGCGAAGCGTCTTCAAACGATCGATGTCGGCGGCCAGTTTCTCTTCCTGTTCGGCTTCGGTCTGTTGATTCTCGGCCTTTCATGGGCCGGCGCAACGTACGCCTGGGACAGCGCCGCGGTGCTCGTCACCCTCATCTTCGGCTTCATCATCAGCATCTTATTCATAGTCTACGAGTACCACATGGCTCCCGGCAAGTTTCTCGCTCGTCATTTCCCTTCCCAAAAGGCCATGATTCCGTGGGAGCTAGTCCGCACAAGGGACATTGGCCTCTTATTCTACACATCCTTCGCCACCGGCATGGCAATGTACTCGGTCCTCTACTTCTGCAACATCTACTTTACGATGGTAAAGCTCTGGTCAGCCGACCAGGCCGGTACGCAGCTGCTGTACTTTACGCCTGGATTGGGCGTCGGAGTCTACGTCTCCGCCTTCATGTGCAACTCCTGGCCTAGGAAGACGTTCCCTCCCATCTTCCTCGGCTCCATCTTGGAGATGGTCGGTATCGGCTTGGTTGCCTGGGCCATATCCACCGAGCACGACCCGACCGTCTACGGAATGATGGCCCTCACCGGTGTCGGCACCGGTCTCCGTGTCATGCCGGTTCCCCTCCATGGTATCGGCCACTTCCCTAAGAAGATTGCAGCTGTCGTCTCCCTCATGGCCGTTGCCTACCCCTTTGGAGGCACTGTGGGCTTGACGATCTTGACCACGGTATACAACAATGTGTCCGGCATCAGCAACGATTCCCCTCTGAGAGACTTCACCACGTTGAAGAATTTGCCGGCTGCGGAGCAAGCTGCAGTCACCCACGACGCCAAGATGGGTATTGTCTGGGCCTACGTCGCCATCTGCCCCTTTATGGTTATCGTGAGTAAAATCGTCAGCCAGGATACCGTGCGCAATGATTCTAACATGTCTCTCTTTAGTGCACAATTACTGCCTCATTCCTGGGCAACGTCTACATTTCCAGGACCGAGAGTGAGGGGCAAAATGCCATCTACAGAGGGGTGTATCTGCTCAAGCCTTTCCGCAGGATGCCGATAAAGAGATCACGACCACAGAGCACCATTCGGGTGATGAGCGTATTCCGAAGTAGTTGCATGCGGCGGCTTACAGTGCATGACGTTGGAACGTTTTACGATTTTTCTTTGTCGGAGTACTTGGAATTAGGAGTTACAATACCCGATTGGAAAGTTGCATCCAAACAGCGGAATAGATCAGAATTGGGCATCAGTGGTTGAATTAAGTACCTATCAAATCATGGCCTGTGTTATCATTCATCTACGAATGGAGATGGTTCAATCACATCTGTTACGTATGACGCTCGTTGCCATGTGATGAAGTCTTCATGTGAAATCCGTGCTGTAGTACAACACTCCTGATCCAAAGAAGAGAAAAACAAGATCTGGCTGTCATCTCTTGAATGGAACCGAGAGCAGGGAATCAGACGGCAATACATCTGGGCGCAGATCCTTATCCCGACGTGATTCGCCAGCAACGACGCCGAGGCGAGGTGGCCAAGTTGGCCCGAACGGGAAAGTGGGCTGTTTGGCTGTCGCAAAGCACCGCTCCGGCCACGCTCTGTACTCACTCCAACATCATCTCATCCGCCACAAAGCGACCTTGCCCCCGTGGTAGTCCCAATCATCACTACCATGATTCCAGTTCCAATATCGTAGATTCACAGCACTCCGGACCGCCCCTTCTCGGCCATATCTTATAACCCGCGCTGCATCTCACACTCCCCGCCCACTTCCCTGCGACTTGACCGCATCTCATCGTTCCGCCATGACATCCCAGATCGAGAACCCCCCGCCCCCCCTCCCGGACGAGGAAGCCCACCTCAAGGCCCTCACGTCCGCCTCAAAGTTCTGGCTCGAGTTCTCCGTCTTCAACGACGGCCTGGACGCCTCGCGCGCGGCGTCACTCACATCCGCCGCCGCGGGGGCGCACGAGCACTTCCACCGCTTCCCGGACCTGCCCCCGGAGATCCGCCTCAAGATCTGGTCCTACCTCGTCGTCCCTCGCGTCGTGACGGCGTGCTGCTTCGAGCGGGACTCGCGCCTGCCATCCCGCCGCCAGGCCTTCCTCGACCGCTCCGGCGGCGCCTCGAGGGCGGAGGAGCCGGCAAAGGAGGGCGTCGTGTTCAACCCGACGTGCCCCGTCATCCTCCGCGTCTGCCGGGAGTCGCGCGCCCTGGGGCTTGAGCACTACGAGCTCGCCTTCGGGTGGAGGATCTCGGCGCTGCTCAGCCACACGCCCATCGCGCGGCCGCCGCGGGCGTGGTTCAACTTCCGCCTCGACTCGCTGTACCTCGTCGGCGAGCTGGAGGCGTACGACCAGTACGGCTTCAACTCGCCCATGGTGTACTTCCTCAAGAGGGAAGACACGAAGAGGGTCAAGTACGTCGCGTGCGCCTTTGAGGAGCTGCACTACCCGGAGCAGGAGTCCGACCAGATCTTTGGATGCCTGTGGCACGTCGTGGATAGGTTCTCCGGCGCTAGGCGGCTGCTGCTGGCCGTCACGCCGAGGGACGAGGAGGGGATGAAGGGGTGTCTCATGCTCAGCACGGATAACGTGATGCAGAAGATCTGGAACGGCTGGATATTGGGGACGACCGTGACAACGTCCAGCCTGGCAGACACGCAGATTTTGCTAGTGAGGGAGTGTGACTTGGCGGACACCATGGTGTCGCATGCTGAGGAGGATGAGAACAAGAAAGCGAGGCGGTGAACTCGCAGCATCTTTTGCCTTTTCCTTTTTTGGGGTCACTTCATTGCATAGTCCGGAGTTTAAGCGTTCTTCAGTGGGATTTCTTTTGGTGTTGTACAATAGTTTACATGAATAGAGGAGAGGTGGCGGTGATGATGCCGCCCGCGTAATGATGATTGAATGAATTGGTATGTCCCGCTACCCCAATAACGCCCTGTTTTCATTGCGCCGTTTATCCCGTTGTCGAATCTCTCATTTTCACTCATCATGTAGTGCTCTCATTCCTTCTTGGCTCAGCCCTTGCAAGCAGGACTCGGGCTGTCATTTCCCCTCCGCATCCCGCCGAGCAGCCAGTCCGTCAGCCCGACGACCTTGGCCCCCACGCCCTTCTCCCAGTCCCCGCTTTCCTGCACCGTCTCGATGGTATGGCTCAGTATCCGTCCCTCGGAGTCGAACTGGAACACGAACAGCCCCGTGAAGGGTTTGTCGCCATCCTTTTCCGTTGCGGCGCCCCCTGCCGTTGTCGTCGTGGCCGAGCCGTTCTTCCCACCGGCGCACCACCTGACGACGAGCTGCTCCGGCACAGCTCCCGAGCGCAAGGGCGCAAAGGGGAGAGGATGCTTCGTCACGCGCTCGGAGATGATGGACAACCGCACATTGCCGACCAGAGGTAGCCTGTTCCAGGCGATCGGGGCGCTCCAAAGAGCGGCTGTATAGGCTACCCTCCCGGAGACGGTTGGCAGGTGAGGATGCGTCGTCGGAAATAGGTGGAGGGAGATGTTGGGTGCGAGGATCTCCTGGGGGAGGGGTGACTGGAGGACTTTGGGGAGGTGTTCTTGTAGGACGCGCAATGCTGTTTTTACCTCGTATTAGTCTTGTCCTCATTCATTCGTTACGCAGTATAGTTTGGACGTACTCTTGCCTAGATTGGCATTGTTTTCGTTACCGGGATTCTTCCCCGGCTTCCCGCCGTCGGCTAGCACCGTGTTGGAGGGGTTGAAGTAGCGCTTCGGGGGCTCGCCCTCCTTCGTCCTCTGGCGCGCAAGAACGAATGGAGGGGGAGGCGGAGACGGAGCTGTTGCGGTCGCTGCCACCGCGGCTGCCGCAGCGACGGTAGCAACGGCGGTCGAGGGATGCGTCGGGACGTTCGGCGTGTGCAGAGAAGTGCTCGTGGGGTTTGCGCAGGAGGACCAGAGCTGTGAGGTCAGCGGAGACGTCGCGGCGGCGCGCACGCCTGAAGGTGCCGATGTAAGACGCAAGGCGGCCATGGGACCTGAAGGGCAGTTATCATGAAACAAGATTGATATGCATTGAAGTAGCGAAGCAGCAAAAGGAAGCGATGACAGCGACGCAGCAGGGCAGGCGGAAAGAATGATGTCAGGAAGAATGTGGAGGATGGAACAGGCGGAGATAATTTTTGTAGGGGTGGGCAGCAACGCAGGCCAAGCTACTCAAGGTAGCTCTGGAAGGCCCGTGGCCCAGGAAGGTTATCCTTTCTTTACCTTAGGTATGTACCTTAGCTACAGTGTAGCCGGGGTTGCGGAGAGGGTCCCGCACGCCCGGCTGGACACCCCGCTCCACCTCGACATCGGATCGGAGACGACATCCGACTTCCATGAAGATTCGAGAACGTCACGGTCGCGGGATGTTGTGGGAAATCTTCTTCTCATTGTATTGATGTTGCTCATATTCTTTCTATTCTTTTGTGGGACTAACGCTACCAAGTAGGCAAAACTCCATGACCATAGGCAAATGTGATACACTTCAGGTAATATACACGCCGTGCCTTTTCTCACCTCGGGTGAGGGAACTCGTCCGCAAGCTGCAACCGCACACCGACGTTCATACTGATCAGCTCCTGAACCAGAAGCTTCGCAGCATAAGGCATCGTCATTTGTGTCACCTCCCTGGTGCTCTTGCAGGTGTGGCAGTAACCCTTGTAACCGAACAGGCCGCACTGCTGGCAAATGTCGAGCTGGGTTCCGTCGGAACTAATCATCAGACGTTCCAGAAGCAGCTGAGAAGCACCGTACGCGATCAAACAATCACGCTCCATCTCTCCCAGACGAAGACCACCGTCTCGGGAACGACCTTCTGTAGGCTGGCGAGTGAGGATGGCTCTGGGACCACGCGAACGCGAGTGCATCTTGTCCTGCACCATGTGCTTCAGACGCTGGTAGTAGATGGGACCGTTGAAAATGTAGGCCTCCAGCGGCTCTCCTGTGATACCCGAGGTGAAGTAGTCCTTGCCTTCCCATGAGAAGCCATGATCCACCAATGCAGCACTCATCTGCTCCAAGGGGTGGGAGCGGAAAGCGTCACCAAAACCATAGTCCTTGCGTCCATCCAACACAGACGCCTTGCCCGTCAGGCACTCGAGAAGCTTGCCGACAGTCATTCGAGAGGGGAAACCGTGAGGGTTCATGATAATGTCGGGAACCAGACCTGTGTCGGAGAATGGCAGGTCTTCCTGGTCCACAATGATACCGACGACACCCTTCTGCCCGTGACGAGACGAGAACTTGTCACCAAGCTCGGGCCGTCTTGTTTGTCGGGTTTGGACCTTGACAACCATCGTCTCTCTTTCGGTATGAGACACCATGACCTTGTCGATGTACGCAGGGTCAGCTATTCTGTATGAGATGGACGAGTCGCGGAACTCGCTAGGACCACGATCCATCCCGATGCCGGTCGATCCCGTGTCAAGAGGGGTCTCTTTCTTGATCATGGTCTCACCCGAGTTGATCTTGTAGCCGACAATCGCCAGACCGTCGTCATCGAGAGCCTCGTGCTTCTTTGTGCGACCATTCTCGTCATTAACGGGGTCTCCAATTCGCTCGCGACGTCCGTTGGGGTATTTCTGCAACTCGGCGGTGTACTTGCGGAAAACCTGGCAGCGTCCAAAACCACGATCGCAAGACGCCTTGTTTAACACCAACGCGTCCTCAATATCATAGCCAGAGTACGACATGACAATAACAGTCGCATTCTGTCCTGCGGGAAGCTTGTCGTAGTTGACCAATTGGATGGTTTTGGAAATGACCATGGGCCTTTGAGGGTAGACCAAGGTGTACAGAAGGGTATCAATGCGGTTGAACTGGTTATATGCAATAGCTCCAATGGCTTGCTTACCCATGGCGCATTGATATGTGTTTCTGGGGGACTGGTTGTGGTGAGGGAAGGGAATAAGACCGGCAACGGCACCAAGAACCGTAAAAGGCTCGATTTCCATATGAGTCGTGGTCATGGTAACGTCTGTTTCGTAGAGAGCAACAAGCGTGTCGTTCTCCTCGTTTACATCGAGATATTCGACAATGCCGTGTGTCAAGAAGTCGTCAAATGTCGCCTTGCCCAGTTGAAGAAGCTTGAGATGCTCTGCCTTCAGCTTGGGCTTACCGTTCTTGACGATAATATACGGCCGGCAAATACGTCCTTCATCAGTGGCGATGTGAACTGCGTTGAAATGGTTGTTGATGTGGATGCTAACGAAAGGAGAGATCCAGCCTCGCCTCCTCATCGTTCTGAACTTGCCAGCAAATCGCTTCGGGTATCTGGTCAGGGCGAATGGTGTTCCGTTGATGTGGATAACGAAGGACCCTTCGCGATGCATCTCGCCACCGGAAAAGTTTCTGATGGGCTCAACGCCGGCATCCAGCGTAAAGACCCATCGTTTCACGGGTTCCTCCTCGACATTGGTCGTGATATGTGTCATGAGCGCCAAGTTCTTCACCAAACCACAAGCTTCACCTTCTGGTGTATCCGAAGTACACAGCATACCCCATTGAGAGGGCTGAAGTGCACGGGGACCAGAAACTTTGCGGGTCTTTTCAAACTGACTGCTGATACGAGTCATCATACCAAGTGCGCTGATGTAGCTGAGACGACTGAGTACATGGGTGACTCCAGCTCGGTTCATGTTGAAACGCTTGACAGTCCAGTTGCCCGTTTGGATGGCGCGGTTGATGCCCTGGCCAATCATGTTGGCATGGTTGCTAATCATGTTGACGGCGTCGAGCGGAACAGCTCGATTGTCCTTCTTGAGGACCTTGTCGATGCTGCTCTTGACGTTTCCGCAGAATTGCTTGAACAAATCTTCAAATAGCAAAGATAGCAGTTGACCAGCCAACTCAAGTCGCTTGTTTCCAACGAAGTCTCGGTCGTCAACGAGGCTGAGGTTGCTCTGCGCCATGAGAACACGTCGCGTCATGAATGCGACGTACACTGCCTTGGGGTAGAAGTCCAGCCCCTCGATGGGAACGTGGGCGATGATGAGGTTCGCCAGAGCGTCGAGAGCCTCCTCGACGTGGTTTCGTCGGACTTGCGCAGAGAACGGCACTCTGCTCTTGCCCATCTTCACCCTCGCGCCGATGTACTCGAGAGCTTGCTGCTGAGTGTAGACTCCAACCTTGGTCGCCTCTTCAAACTGTACAAGAAATTCGTCTTGGTACTTGCCATTGTCTCCGGCGACAAGCTGCATAATCTCATAGTCGGAGAGACCTCCTAAAGCCTTCAGGATGATGACGATTGGGATACCTTCTACCAAAATGTTGGCAGTCAGAAGGATGCGGTCCTTCTTCAGCGTGACGTACGTCTTAGACTTGCGCTCGTGAGTAGAACTGGTGACGGAGGCGGTGATGACGTTGTTCTTCTCGTCGGCTTCGACGATGACTCTGTTCTTGCTGAGCTGCTCCTGAATAAGAATGACCTTCTCCGTTCCATTGATAATGAAGTAGCCACCGGGATCAAGAGGGCATTCGTTCATGCGAGACATCTCTGCGTTGGTAGCACCGCCGAGGCGGCATATGGAACTCTTCAACATGACAGGCAAGCGGCCTAGGGGAACGTTCTTGCGCACAATCTTGGACTTATCGCGAATGTAGGCGATGTCAACCATGATGGGAGCGGCGTATGTCATGTCGCGCAGGCGACATTCCATTGGTGTAACCTCATTCTGTGCTCTGATGTCGTTGAAGTCGACACGACTGGGCTTCTCAACCCTGATATCAGTGAACCTAAGAAATTGGTCAGCGCAGTCCACGGTGTGAAGTTGAGATGAGCGGTGTTGGTGTTGACGGTACATACTCAAGCCAGAAGGAGCTGTTAACATCGCTGCGAATGATGCGGTTGGCCCGAACAATCTCTTTGATTTCGTTTTCGACGAAGAAGTTGTACGAGTCAATGTGCTGCTTGACGAGACCCTTGACCTTGAGGAAGGCGGGCAGAAGCTGGAATTTGTCTTCCTTGGTGGAGATGGGATCTGTGAGCTTCTTTCCGTTGTAGAACGGCTCCAGTAGAGCCTCGAAGCCGTCGTCTTGCATGTTGAATGTCACCGTCGACTGCACGTAAACATCATGTGTGGGCGACGTTGATATCGCGTTGTATGACTACCGCAGAAGAATTTTGAGGCGTCGAGAGCTCGAGTCACCTTGGTGAGAATTCGAGGAAGGTGGCGGGCAGCAGCAAAAAAGTTTGGCCCCGCGATACCGGGTGCTGCCAGCTGCCCCATTAGATGGGACCGCGACGGCGAGACGCGCCGCAGACATCAATGCTGCTGACTGTCCGAGTGAGTCTTTTCTTATCGCACATCGCGTCACGTGCCGATAATAGAATAGGACCCACCCTTTCACCCCAGCACGTTCCTCACCGAGGTGAGCCACGAGCCCAGCCGGGAAAGAGGCTGCATGAAATGGCCGTGGCACCACCGTTGGAGCGCTTGAATTTACTTTCCCGCCTAAGGTTATCAGGCTGTTCATCCCAACCTCTTGGACTGGTTCCTGGACTAGCCGGGGCACAGTTGACTCAGGCACCCTGCACCGAGAAAGTTGATTAATACTGTCAAAACATATCATGGAAGGTTCCATAGTGGTATGATACTCCAGGAAATGGTCGTTGAGATTGCCAAGTCATCTCTCAATCGCTTCACCGGTGGGCTCAGTTTCTCCGGTCCTCAAGTCTGGGTCGAGCCGTGACAGCAATGGTCATCCAGGAGGTAAACGGCAGAGAGGACTTTGGGGGTCCCGCTCCATACTGTGCGCATCGTGCATCCATCGTGCATCGCAGTAGAGCAGGCTCGGAATGACCAACATGGCGCACGTCTTATTAATTGACTGACAAAGTGGATATTCGCGAACGCGCGACTTTGCATGCCTCCCCCATTACCTAGTCCCAATGAAGATTCTGCCAGATCTAGAAGTAATCCGTTTCACGCAAGCACTCAAACACTTGTTGATAAAGGGTAAGGCATTTTGACAAGGTCTCTTGCCTCAAGCGGTTGACGATGCTAGCAAGGGGTGGGGGTTCCTCACTTTTCCAGGGCCTCTCGTAGGTGGGAAAGCCGAGCCAACAAGGGGGAAGGCAGCAAGATGGTGACAGTGCCCTGGGCGCTTGCTGCAAGCCCCGCCATCCAGCATCTTTCCTCTCTACCTCATACTTTACCCCTCCCACTCTGCTCGGACGACAAGCCTGTCTTCGTCACCCCTCACTTGAGCCATTCCCTTGGAATGCGCCTGTCTAATTGATTCTTCGCATTTGCCGCTATTAGCGCAGAGACACATTGGAATGACGAGCACGCTCTTGAACACAGCAGAAAGGCTCACCCGCAAACAAAGACAAGCGTCAATCAATGCCATTGTTGCCTTGGCTCGCCTCCAACGGCCCCTGCCGGCCGCTGGCCTCTGACATCCGCCGCCCTGAGTCTGTCGTCACACAGCAAGGGATCAGAATGCTCCCCGCAGGGTTTCCTTTTGTACGACCCGCAGCAGATGTGATGCAGCGGCGGCAGCGCCGTCTGCGTGTTGCGTTGGCAGAGGAGAATAAGTGTGGCAAGTCGAGTTGCGTCGCTGTCCATCACCGCAATCGCAATCGCCCCCTCTTCGTCTCCAGATATCAGGTCCTGATCGGTTAGGTGGTGAAGCTGCCCCGCGACGACGATGCGTCTCCTTCGCATCTAAGCCACTGCATGTCACTTTATTGCACCAACCATACGCTGGACAATCACATCGGGGGCGCAAAGCCAAAATACAAAATAAGAGGAACGTTTGACACCCTCGGCATGTTGGCGAACAAGAAACCGATTAGATCGTTTGCTGTGGCGTACTGCCGGCCGTCACCAAAGGCGCCATTGGCCTGGATACTATCGTTCGCCCTCAGCGTCGACTTCTGGCCAGGGCTGCCAACTATGATGCAACAAGCCAACACCGCGAGTCACGATCTGCGGCCCCAAACTCTGCGGCGCACCGAGGGTCCAACCTCTTCCTCTACAACTGGAGAGGGTCCCTGCCGCTGGGCAAGCGCTGGTGTATCGCAACACGGGTGACGATTGAACCAGAGCCTAGGGCTTTGCCGCTTTTGCCTAATGGAGCCTTTCATCAGCGACTAAGGGACTGACGCTCAAAAAAGGGGTGGCGAGGGAATATCCGAGCTAAATGATCGTCAAGCCGATTTTCCTCGAACTAGCGCAGGAAGTGGCAGATGGAACATTGCCCAGCGATTCTAGCCCATCACCTATGCCATTTTTGCCTACACTGCAAGACTGGCATCCGTCAGCCGGCATGCTGTAAGTGACATGGGACGACAGCCAGGCCCCTCCGCGATCAGAGCCAGCGGCTTGAGAGCTTGAGAGCAGCGCTTTTCGACTGCCTGCAGCCAACTCCTTCTACATGTCCACCAGGCGAGCTCGGTACAAAGCGAATACCTCTTCACGCCTACTCCAGGGTCGATCTGGAAAAGTCACTGCAGTCCGAGTCTGGAGTCTGGTCACTTTCCACACCAATCCCGCTGCCCACGCCTGCTTTGTCGCAGACTCGCAGACTGTCCACTCAATGCGGGCCTCAAAAGTCGGTGTAGAACGGAGCCGCTACAAGCCTCCGAATGCCCATGCCTGCAGCCCAACAAATCAGTACTTTGCACTGCTATTTTCACCTTGAGACAGGTGACTCCAAGGCTACACAGAAAAGGCCTCGGCGGCATTATGACGAAGTCTCTGGGTCTTTTGCCCCCAAAGCATGGGTCGTGACAAGCCTGCTGTCGTGTGGGAAGTGGGAAGATGCAAGTCACTTCGCGACCCTCCCAAGCCCACCGGCCACGACCCAAGATGCCGCCGCATCGAAAGGCCTGTCCCGCGGTAGCAAACGCGCCCAAATCGCGGGGCAGCACATTATCATTAGACTTGTGCTGAGGATGAGGCTGCATGGCTACACCAGCCGGTCGTCTCTTAACTCTCGCGAGACCGTATCCATCCGGAGACTTCAAGAATTAGCTCCAATCCACAATTCTTAGCTTCATGTATGTACTGACGGGCAGGGAGTGTTTTGCATGCAGACTTGGCCGTTGGTTGCCCGCTGCGATGCATGTCACCCCGGAGTTGGAAACTCAAGCATTGGAAACTCGAGCGATGCTGGAGAAGATACTTCCTCTTACAAGCGGCTGGTGCTCGTGCGCTACCCAGCCCAGGCGGAATCGCAGGTCGGGAAGACCCTGTTCATCTGCCAGCGAGTTTGCGAAGAAAAACAGAAGTGGGAAAACAGCAGTTAGAATGCGTTGGAGCATGGCAATGGCAAGGCAAGGCAAGGGTGAACCTTCTTCTCAAGCTCGAGCAATCTCCTGAAGCCCCGTGCCGCAGCTCACCGACGGCGGGTTGCAACCCAGTGCCGGTTTGCGATGTAGGAACGTTGCGGAATGGTATCCTTGGGACGAAGTTGTCGATTAGCGGACCAATGGGATCAAATATCACCGCTCAAGACCGACTTGTGCCCGCGAGGTCTGGTATGCGGCCCAGGTATCTCTGCTTCTGGTGTCATGATATTCAAGTACTTGGGGTTCCGGTCGTTGTCATCTTGGCAGAGACTAGCTGGATGGGTGTGTCATTGTCGCATTTGCACTACTACACACAACGCGGAAATCACTCTACTAACTGTTCATTGTTGACAGAGCAAACCAATGACAGGGCTTGGAGCGGCAAACGAAACTCGTCGTTCACATACCCATGCGCGCATCTCGCTCTTGGGCAGCCCCGGTCTGTCCACTCGATCAGGCAGATCTTCGATAGCCGTGGCACGGACATGGGCTGCTCTGTGGTGTACAGTCGAATTTTGGATGACTCGCTGTTACGAGCGAGATACTCCTTTTGGTGGATATATCGAACCAACTCAAGAATTCAAAAGAGGCTGGCAGAATCCCCAACTCTTCTAGATGCATTTTTTCTTCTCCTGTTCCCCATCCGGGGGAGTGTGTTGTCACCCACACAGGGTTATCCAAGTCCCGAAGGCAATGCGACGCAGGCTGTGCGTGGCACACAGACACCGTCGCTAGACCTGTTGTCAATAGCAAGCTACAAAAAGACAGCGAACAGGCTGTGGCTACACCGCCTGAGAGACATGCGAATCCTTGGTTTTGGAGGTTGCTTTGCACCGAGAAGGAGAGGCAGAACGACAAATTACGAGCAGGGTAATCCCCAAAGCGACGAGCCCTACTTCGCAGATTGCCAATTCGACAAAAGTCAAGCACCAAAATGAAGAAGAGCGGTGACAATCTCGTCGAGGCTGACCGGAAAACAATGTGGAAACGCAAACACGCCCTTGAACTCTGAGGATCTCGGGCCTCCTGTCAGACCGAGATAGAGTTTGCGATGCACTGACAAAAGGCCATACTGGTGGTGGTCAACTCTCAGTCCCTCTCTCTCTTTGAGGTTGACAAGCGTCGATGGTGGGCCAGCCGCTGCATGTTGCTATGGGGAGACGGCGCCCCTGACAGGAAAGCGGAAGGAGAACATCGACTGGGCCTAGTACGGAGGTCCTCCGACCTCCGACCTGCTAGACTCGGCGGTTTCTCTGGCTGTTAGTGCACCAGCCCCTCAGCAATACCTAGGCAGAGGATGGGAGGGGATGAGGGGGGTAAGAAAAAAAACGAAGGGGACGGAGGGGTGGAAGCGAAGTGACTGGGTTTGCTCGCCATTGACATCGATTTCGCAGAGGTTCAAAGTCAGATGTCTACGAAAGGAGTTAAGAGCTACGTTACGTGTGAGCCTGATTCGCAGTTTCTGTCGGTACAGCTGTCGGTACCAGCAAAACAGCATTGAGAGCAAGGCAACAAGACAGAACCAGATCTCTTCCGCAACTCCCATCATAGACTCGTGTACCTGAAAGGTATCCGAGATCAAGTCACCAGTGCAACCACACATGTTCGCTCTCCTGCGCGCCGGTGCTGCTGCGGTAGCGGGACGGTTTGGACAGGGTACCTGGGCGGCGTACCTTGTCTCCCACTGGCTGTCTTACTCTTCTGGGAATGATGAAAAGGCATGCCAAAACTGCCCGCGCTGCGTCAGGATACCATCCACACCAGATACCCAGCATCTACCACTGCCACATGCGCGCAACACCGCGGCCACTGCATATGAAATTGTGCCGGTGCTGTTCACACTTGGTACCTGCTCTGGGTGCCCGCAACCTTGGCTGCAACCTGGACAGGTACGGCGGCACTCGACCTGTTGGATGCTGCGCGGACCAAGACAGGGCAAGGTGTCGTAACGCAACCCGCAATGTGCTGCCAGGTACTTTGGCTGCTTGCCTGGCAGGTAGGTACCTCAAACCCGTGCTCTCTCTACCTACGAATAGCCTGCAGTGAGGAAGGCTAGGGCAGCTTTGGGCAGTCACTGAGAGCCCAGGAGAGTGGAGGAGGGGGAGGGGAGGGGGGGAAGTTGCCAGGTCCCTTGGGCCCCCAGCCCCAGGTCCAGCGGCAGCAATATGGAGAGCGAGCGAGTGAACGGGCGAGTGAGATGCTGTGGTTCCTCTCTGTGGTTCCTCTTTGCGATGGTGGCCCCGTCAAAACCCCTTCACCCCCGTCGACGGCGCAGGGGTATCTTGGGCCGCTGGCTGGCCTGCCACGCCCTCTCGACCGTGCTTCTCTCCCACACCCAAAAATGATACATTACCTTCTTTTGCTCCAAACCTGTCGCTCTCGTCTCTTCCCACGTACGTCGGGTTTCTTGTCCAGTCTCTTCTCTGTACACCATCTTGTGTGTCCGTGTATTTCAAACCCTCTCCAGACTGCCGCTCCTGGCTCTCCAGGGCGCGACGTGTGAGACTATATCCCGAGTGTATACTCTGTTCCGACGCGGGCAAGAAGAAAAAGGTGAGTCCCTGGTCCATTTACTTACTGTCTTTATGCGTTCGCAATCCTGCATCCTGCGCGTTGAGGGAGCAATTTCGCGACATGGCGGCAAGAAACACATCTACACACAGAGAGAAAGACAGAGAGACAGAAACGTTTCTGTCCTATCTTCAGTGCCAGCGGGCTATTGCAACGGCACTTCACCTGGACGGGGGGGCTTTCAGATGCGCAGCCAAACCCGACTCAAGCACCCGCAAAGCCATATCGCATCTCGGCATGGCTGGGGGTTGTTGCTTGACAGACATGAGAAGAACGAGGTAGGGGTGCGCGGAGGACGACGAAGAAGCAAGGACTGGGACGGTTTCGGTTTGCGATTCGAAGAGACACACCAGAGGAGACGGGAGCTGCAAGGCGAGACATTGGGGTCTCACGCTGCTTAGCCTTCTCCAAGCGCTCTCTGCTGGGCTTGACGTTGGTTTTTCCCCTGCGGCCCTGGATGTCATTCATCCTCACGGTCGTCTTTCAGGGCTTCACCGACTACCGCCCGCTTTTGGAGAAGGCCAAAAAGCAACCCCCCTGACCAGCAACCAACCCAACCCGACCTGGAAACCTTACGCAGTCCCGTCACTTTTAGTTCGCCAGATCCGCACCCCGCCTCCGATTTTCCTTGTTTTCAAATTCGCCAAACCACCGCTCTGTTCTGTGTTTCTTGTCGTCGTGGGCTGCGATCTCCAACTCAGATTCGCAGCAGCCTGCAGCGTTCTCGTTTCTCAATCCAGTTTCTCCATGTATTTGTTGCTGACCGCCAGCCGTACTTGATGCCAACAGTAATATAGAACGCCATCGCCACTTGGCCCCTTCGTGTACGAGTTGGAGTAAACCGGACGGCCATATGGACGACCTGCGATTTCGATCCCAACAGCCCCCGCGTAACGAGCCCACGATGAATACGCTTGTCTCACCTCCGCGGAACGGCAGCCGCATGCCCCAGCCTGTTCAGGCCCACGATGGGCGCGGCGCTCTGCCCCGCCGCTTCACCACCGATTCGGGGCGTGTACCAACATTGTCGTCTATTACCAACCAGCGCGGCCCTGAGATGGGCAATGATTACAATGTACGTCGTCATCTCTGTGCATGGCACTCGCAGGACTTCGCGGATCTGCCATTGCGATGCCCCTGTTGCCATCGCATCCGTCGGTGCACAAGGTAGACTTGGGCTGACAAGTGAATTAACAGACTTTGCACAAGGTTCAATTGGTTCGTGGACCTCCCCTCCCGCCCCGTTTCCGCGACGGCAAGCGGCAGCCCGATGACGGCGCGATGCTGCATTCGACCGGTGGCGATACTAATTCTCGGGCCAGATTGAGAAGAAGAAGCTCGAATACGAAAGACTCCGAGAGCAGAGACGCCGATTCGAACTCGAGATGCAGAAGCTGGAGCAGGCGCAGCGGCGCGAGGAGATGGAGCTTGCCAAGATGCAGGATGACCTGCGCCAGGGTCACCAGTCGGAACCGACGACGCCTCCCGAATACCACGAGTCGTCTGGCTTCCCCACGATGTTCTCACGCCCGAACCGTTACTCGACGTCCAGCCTGACCTCTCCCCCGGGCCTGTTCAACCGTCCCGGCCGCTCGGGATCGCAGCTCACCTCTCCTCAAGCAACTCTGATGCAGCAGTCTCGCTTCAGCTTTGATGAGCATCTCCCGTCCCGGTCCGTCCCCGGCTCTCGAAGAAACAGCGACGAAGACGAGAAGGAGGAAGCTGTGCGTCAGGACCCGACCAGCCATCGGTCCTCTAATGCGTAAGTGCTGTAATCGGTGCATGTGTTTGTTTTCTTGGACAAGTCGTAAGTATGAAAATCTGGAGTTCCGAGGACTCTTGCCATTAGCTGCGCCGAGAGATACTGGTTGTGTTGTGTGGGCGGGCGAGTGTTGCAGTCGAAATATCGTCTTTGGCTGCCTCGGAAGAGCTCTTGCGACTCAAGGGTGTAGTGGATCGCTTCCTTCCTGCAGTTGCTCTACTCTCAGTTCTCTGGCCTCCACAACACAAAAACTCAGGATCCGTCTTTGAAAAACCTCGACTCATCACATCAACCCTCGAGGTCCCCCACCACCACCTCACGCCTTCTTCACAACGAACGCTCCACCGGGCTTTTAAGTTCCTTACCTCATTCAACCTGGCGACTTTGTGAACAACCCTTTCACTTCCACAACCAGTCTTCACAACCACAGTTGCGCACCTGCCTATTATCCACCTGCTCGCCTCGCAACTACCTTTCCAACTACTTATCGTTCCAACCACAACTTTCGCGCCTACCTTTCGACTGTCAACTCTCGATCGCGCCTCCTACCAAATCTTCAACCCGTTCAAACTCATCGCTCCAAATTCACCTCACAATCAATAGCTTCCTTTCGGTCGGGATTCCAAAGCTATTTCAAGAGCTTTTGTTTCTCCGGATTTCCTCACTTGTTTCTAAACGAAACAACTCGACTTGTCCAAGAAGCTGACCACAGGCATCTTCACCTCTTGAACAATGGCTGACTCTCAACCTTCTGACAACAGCTACAACCGCTACTCCATGCCTGTCACCAGATCTCGCACTGGCTTGTACGGCTCTGACCTCGACCAAACCGGCACTGCTCGATTCCTCTTCGGCGAGGAGGACGCTTCTGGCGAGCACAAGTACGGACACGGCACTGACGACAACTTCCCTACGCTGGTGCGCCGCGACGACCAAATGGTAAGTCTCACTCTGGTTTGCTCTGTTATTTTGCTCTTTCCCAAATCCATCCATCATCGAGTTGCCCCCCCAAAGCAAGTAGCAAGCCAGTGTGCCTGATTGGCCCCTGCCCTGGTCATGATTGGCTGGTGAGTTGAGTGAGGTTGAAATAGCATCGGGAAGGAGCGAGCAGCAAGCAAGCAACCGCCGCAGCTTCCCAACCTCAACTTGATTCATCCCATTCACCCCGCCCGCCTTTCCTTCCACTTCCACTTGCACCTTTTCTTGCCTTCTTCCTCTCCCAAAATTTCTGTCTCAAAAGGATTTTTTTCTTTTCACCTCACGCACCTTCCCGTTCTCCCTCTGTTTGTTTACAGTAAACACTCGCTCTCCCTCATCACCTCCCTCCCCTTCACCTCAAGGTCGGAGTTTTGCAAGAACATCACGTCGTTGTCGACACACAGACTTCGTTACAACACAAATTGTCAATATCTGTTCAGCGTTGACATTGTTTGGTCGTGTAGCTCTCTGCATCCTCCGCTGCCCTTGATCTTGCCCTCTCTCCTTCGCCTGCCCCCGACGCGCCTCCCACGAACGGTTGGGGCCATATTAACCGTCATCGAACCCAACAGAGCTTGTCTGCTATCAACACGTCTTCGCTCAACGGAGCCGCTTCGTCGGGCGAAATCACCAACAGAGCCAACGCCCGTCACTCGCTCGATCTCAAGTTCTACCCGGACGCTCCTACCGACAACCAGAACTCTGTTGTCTCGCCGACCAACCACATGATGGCCACCCCTCCCAAGTTGCAGAGCTCCTTCTCTGCCAACGACATCCCTACCGTCAAGAGCACCAACAACGCTTCTGTGACCAACAACCACGCCCAGCAGCACTTTCATAACCACAATGCCAGCATTGGTCGCATTCCTGCCGGTGCTGTTCCGGGTCGTCACAGTCGCGAGCTGTCCAGCGACAACAACATGGGCGGTCCCCGTGAGCAGCCCGGTCACTTCCCCTCCATCCAGTCTGCTCTTCAGGCCAATGCCGCTCCTTTCGGCCCTGGTGCTCCGGGTCCAGGCTTCCCCCACACCTCTCAGGGTAACCAGGCTCCCAACGTTGCTCCGACTGCCGGACCCAACAACACCTACGGCAACTTCTATCCCAACGGCTACGTCTCCCCGAGCAACCCTGGCCCTGCTGGTCCTCCTGGCCCTCCCACCTCTGGTCCTGGACATTACGGCATGCCTCCTCTCTTGGCCATGGGCATGCAGAACATGAACCTCGGTGGCAACAATATGTACCCCGCCCAGAACTATGCTGGTTATGGCGCTCTCTACAACCCGCAGCATCAGCCTCGCGACAGCCAGGCTCGAGTTATCCAGCATCGCCGCCAGATGGATAACGAGGGTACGTCTTCTCCTAATGTATCTTGTCCTGACCCGTCATGCTAACTGGTTCCAGCCATGTCACGCTACAACGGCCTCGCGCTCGAGAACGTGGGCGGTCAGATTTACGATCTGTGCAAGGACCAGCACGGCTGCCGCTATCTGCAAAAGAAGCTCGAGGAGCGCAACCCGGAGCAGGTCCACATGATCTGGCTTGAGACTAACCAGCACGTCATTGAGCTCATGACCGACCCCTTTGGCAACTACCTCTGCCAGAAGCTCTTGGAGTACTGCAATGACGACGAGCGCACCGTCCTGATCCAGAATGCCGCAGCCGACATGGTCCGCATTGCTCTCAACCAGCACGGCACTCGCGCCCTGCAGAAGATGATTGAATTCGTCACCACCTCCACCCAGATCGAGATGATCATCAATGCCCTGCGCTACCAGGTTGTCGAGCTTATTCAGGACCTCAACGGCAACCACGTCATTCAGAAGTGTCTTAACAAGCTCAGTGCCAAGGACGCGCAGTTCATCTTCGATGCTGTCGGTACCAACTGCGTTGACGTCGGTACTCACCGTCACGGCTGCTGTGTCCTCCAGCGCTGCATTGACCATGCCTCTGGCGACCAGAAGGTCTGGCTCATCTCTAAGATCACCGAGCACGCCCCGATTCTGGTTCAGGATCCCTTTGGGAACTATGTGGTCCAGTACATCATCGACCTCAACGAGCCTTCCTTCACTGAGCCTATTGTCCGCATGTTCAAGAACCGCATCGGTCAGCTGTCTCGCCACAAGTTCAGCTCCAACGTCATTGAGAAGTGCCTGCGCTGCTCCCAAGAGCCCTCTCGTGACATGATCGTCGAGGAGCTCCTTACTCCTGGTGAGATTGAGCGCCTGCTCCGCGACTCTTATGCGAACTATGTCATTCAGACCGCCCTCGAGTATGCGACTCCCCACAGCAAGTTCCGTCTTGTCGACGCCATTCGGCCCATCCTGCCGTCTATTCGCTCCACCCCCTACGGACGTCGCATTCAGGCCAAGATTCAGGCTTTCGAGGGTCGCAGCAGTGCTACCTCCAGCGGCCAGACTACTCCTGCGGACGCCAGCCAGGGCCAGATTGCCCTTCGTCCCAGTCACAACCGTGCCATGTCCAACACCACCTCTGTCATTGCTCCTGGCGGAGGCTTCGGTAACGGTCTGAACGGCGGTCTGAACGGCGGCATGGCCCCTCGCGGCGCGCAGGCCAGCTACCCCACGCCCGCCAACATTACTGTGCCTCCCCCGGCTCCTCCTCAGAACCAGCGCATGCAGCAGTACGGCTACAACCAGCAGCCGCGTACCATGGGAAACGGTCCTGCTGACGCTGGCGCCGGCGGCGAGACCCAGTGGCTGTAATTGTACATAACGCGTTGTCGACGTGGGATTCCACTTCTAATGGCATGAAATGTGATGCGGGCACTCGACGACGAATCTCATGGGCGGCATGATGCTTTCCGCAACGGTCTTCTTTCGAACACAGCACGGCGACGACGCAGCAACGACTTGACGATCACTTTTCCTTCACTGTCTGTGCAAACATCAAAAAATCAACCCCCACCAACATACAAATCGCAACCCACAACCACCTCTTCATCCGTCAAGCACGGCGGGCTTGCATCTGGTTGCAAGACCTGCTTTGTGTGTACACTATGGATTCGGGCAGCGAATGCCAACGGCATTCGCAGCACAAACACAAGAATCGCATTCTGCTTCTCGGCAGCCGTCACCAGATCAGACGGAGCCTTCAATAGGCTTGTACTTGACGCGGACATCGACATAGACGAACCTTTTTTTCCTACTCTCTTTCTTGTGTTTTTGTTTGCGGTTTTTTTCTTCTTCTTCACTTCGATTCGTTACGCTCGCTTTCCAGGTATCATCAACTTGGATCACGATTGGATCGGACTTATGACGACATCGGCTTAATTTCCAACACGACGTGCCATAACGAAGCTGATCATGAGACGCAACGACAAGTTTATGGCGTCAGCTCTCATTCTTGTGAAGGATCTCCATTTCGTTGTCAGCGAGTCTGGAGGCTACTCAGGATGGTACTGGAGCAGCCTGACAGCGTATGCATTGCACAGGGGCGAGCGTTGAGACATGATAGCATCGGGGGGGGGGGGGGGGGGGGGGGGGCAGGCTTTTTCTTTCTCTTATCGCAGCGCTTTGCGCATCGCGTTTCTCGTTCTCGGCATGTGCTACCGACACTCTCATGGCTATTCTGATTGGGAGGACGATTTTGGCAAGGATGGTGGACATGGGCTCTCACATATCAAAGGGGGTTATCTGAGACGGGATCGAGCGAACTTTAGCGATTGGGGAGGGCTTTCTTGTGTGTGTAAGAGACCTCTAGGGATGAAAATTGGCGTTACTTTGCATTTCGGTCGGCGGGGATGATGTGTATGGGGTTTGGCTGGAAGTGCGTACGCTCTTCAGCAAACACCCAGCATCCTACGGCCACGCATGTATCTAGGCAGATCAAGAAAAGATCTCTAAAAACCAGTGCGCTCATCTTGTCCGACGTGATGTGTGACTTTGCCCAGAATCCGTGAATAGAAGCGTTTATTTTTGGCGCCTATCACGATGTCTGCAGTCGTGGCTGGACCACGTTGACCCGATGAGACGGGGAAGGTAAGGATCCGAAGAGTGGAGCATGTGAAGCGACACTGGAAACAAACTCCACCAAGATGCCCTCTGATTGGCCAAACCCACGAACCCCCTCCCTCCCCCACGGCACGGGCAGTGCGTTCCAGAACAGTGACCGCGCTGGACGGACACTCTTTTCAGTGAAGGCAGGCGGCTGACGCCGTGGGAAGTGGGCACAGCCTCACTGTTTTGCGGCAACCTTCGTTGGTCGGGCGCGGGCCAGCCAGCACCTTGGGGGGAGGGAAAAAAAAAAAGGCCAGACCGCAGCGCAGGCCTCCTTTTTGATTTTCTTTTCTTCTTTTTCCCTCTTGTCAGCGAACACGACAGACTATTCTACGCAGCACCACTGCAACATCCTTTTCGCATTTCCCAGCGTACGCCTATAATTTCATTTCGACAAAATGACCCGCGGCAACCAGCGCGACAAGGCCCGTGAGGCGGCCCAGAAGAAGGCTGCCGGAGCGGTGAGTACTTTTTTTCTGGGGGCGTGTTTACGTTTCGCGGTCGGCCGGTTGGCTTTACGACGATCACCCGACTTGCTCACCACACCCGATCCGATCCGGTTGAATCAGCTCCAGCGCTCGTAAGAGGAATGAACGTTCCATTCTCAAAAGTGTTTTCCGCTGAGGACCTCGACGGCTTCTGGAGCTGATTCGCCGTGTGGATGGATGAGTGAGCGAAAAGGGATCGCGATGTTAGCCGGTAAAAGAAGTGCAACAGAATGCTGATGCGTAGTCTTTTTTCCCCACGCAACAGAAGACGAAGAACACCATGAGCGGCACCGAGTTTGCGCGCGCCAAGGAGAGCGCTGCCGACATCATGAGGCAGAAGCAGGCCGCATGTAAGTCTTACCCACCTCTTCCACCGCCCGCCCCTTTTATTCTGGTGGGCAGAATCTTGGGGGTCTCTGCGACGACGGTGACCATTCACTTGTGTGACCGGGGCCGAATATATTGAACAGACGATATGCTGACCATGTCATCACAGCTGAGGCCAAGAAGGCGGCTGCTGCTGCCGGGGGCGGCGGGAAGAAGTAAATCTTAGCAGAGGAAAACGGCAGTTTTTTTGATCGCCCGGCTCCTCTCGCCATATCCTTCTCTTGAACCTGACGCATTTGTCTTCCTGGGCCGGCTCATCAAACATGCAAAGCTCATCTCTCGCCTCAACCTGCCCCAAAAAGGCATGTGAGATGAGTCAGCTTCATGTCTTGACGATCGTTCGGGAAGACGGGTATCGACCTTATCGTCAGGGTTCACCCAAGAGATGTGCTATTGTGAGAGAGAAAAGGGGAGAAGGAACAGGCTGCTGAACCACACAAATACACACTCACACTAACAATCATCAACTACGACTTGCAAACGGAATTCATGGGCGTCTTTACAGGGGCGGTGGCGACGGAGGTGCATTCGGCGTGCTTTAGGCGGATATTCACACACACACAAACTACATTCAACACACAGTACCTACCAAACTTCAAAATACGGGGGACTTGCCTGCTCTTTTGGCCTCTCTCTCTCCATCACTCAATCTCCCGCTTGTGCGTCGTGTCCTTGACTTGAGAGGTGGCCCGTGTGCCAGGCAGGAAGGCGAGGTGAGAACATTGGTGAGAAATCTCAGGTACATACTTAAGCATCTCACGTCCCAGCCTCAGCAACAGCGCCCGGAATAAATGACCGTGAATATGCCCAGTACTGGTACAGCAGTTATACCAGCTGAAACACACAGAGATCATGCTTATCCGGCGCTGGAGCCTATGGGCTCGAATCCCTTTTTGAAGCCTTTTTTCCATTCCTTTTTGTAGCAGTTCTGAATCTAGCTACGTGCGCTCTGTCTGCAACCACGCGAAACCGGCGATACAGCTGTCAAGTATCAGTCGGCTGGTCAGCATCGCACGTTCAGATTCAAACAACGAATTGAGACGATCAGGAATATTTCACCTGAAGCAAACACGGGCCCCCTAAACGGCACCGACATCCGCCCACAAAGTAAAGGTAGGTAGGTAGGTCATGCTCTTTGAATCATTTCGGAGGAGACAACCGGGAAACACGGCTCCTCCGCTCTTTTTTTCCTGTCTTGCGGTCCTCCGCGGACCCAGCCCGGGCCACACACATTGATGGCCGATCAAACCTCGCCAGTCGTTGCAGAACATCTCGGATCTTCTTCCTTCCATGACCCCTTCATCTCCAGTTGGCAGTGATCCTAGTTGATTATTGACTCGTAATCTGTCTTCAACGCTGGCTTGCACAACATCAGCGAGTGAGGAAAAAAGGACCCAATGTTTTGAGCGTGATCATTCATCATCCATTTATTGATTCCTATTAAGTGGTTGCGAAAACAAAAAACGGTTTTCCATCCAGGAAATACGAACCAGTCATACTCTGTAATTATCCCCTAAACCCCTCCTGGCTTCCTTCCTTTGCCTTTCGTCCACTGTCCAGCCTTTTGGAGCTGAGCGGCGACCAACGACGGGGCGGGCTTCCCCCAAAACAACAAAAGAGTTCAAATCCGCCTCGACGACCTTCCAGGCCAATCGAAGCTAATGGACTATATCCTGCTCTTTTTTGTACTTCCGTCTTCCACAACCAACAAAAGAGAAATCTACATGTGATGAGAAAAAAAAAAAAAAAGAAAAAGAGAAAAAAAAAAGGTCGTGAAGCCCCCTAATGTGTAACAACTCCGGATATGTGGTATCGTTCCCAGCGGAGTGGGTAATAAAACAGGTTAAATCTTTCCCGGATTTGGTATGAATATAATAGGACTACTAAGGAAGCGGGGGAGTGCACGACTAGGTGTCTATTCCTCCGTCTATCCTTTAAGCCTCCATCATGTTCATGGGGAGAGAGCCTGCCATGCCGCCGAAAGCACCAACGCCTTGTGCGGCCGCGGGGAAAGAGCCAGCTGAGCAGGTGACGGCGCAGACGCAAGCACCGGCGCCGTTGATCTGGCCAGTGCCGGGGGTAACGGCACCGCCGGCAGCAGGAGCGGCGGGAGCGGCAGGAGCAGCGGCAGGGGGCGCAGCGGCGGGCGCGGAGGCAGCGGGAGCAGAGGCAGCGGGAGCGGCAGCCGGGGGAGTGCCGCCGACGATGGCGCTGGGAGCTCCGTTGCCCTTCTGCTGGATAGCCATAGACTGGAACAAGGCCTGGGACTTCTCGGCGGTGGGGTTGATGGAGAAGGTCATGCCCTTGCCGCAGTGGTTGGCTTGAGCGCAGTAGAACCCTTTGAGACGTGTTAGTTGAGACGGAGGTAAGATGTGAGCAAATAGACTTACACAAGGGGTCAGAGACCATGACTTGCATGGCAACCTGGGGAGGCGGGCTGACGGTGTTGTTGGGGTTGGCCATGAAGCCAGAGTTCATACCACCGGCGAGGGGATCGCAAGGCTTCGCGAAGGAGGACTGCGTAGCGGTGTGGTTCTGGCTCATGAAAGTGAAGACAACCATGTCACCAACGGCAGCCTTGATCTGATCGGGAACGAAGACGAGACCAGCGGCACCACCGACCATAACCTATAACCAGAGTCAACGACGTGTATCTCACGAGATTCGACTTTGCAAACTTACGTTGTGAGTCTGGGCAGCAGCAGGAGGCTGAGGAGGAGTGGCGGGAGGAGCAGCCGCGGGGGGCGCGGCGGCGGGGGGAGCAGCAGCGCCGCCGGCGGGAGGGTTGATGTTGATCGTAGGCGCGCCAGCACCGGGGTTCGCCCAGATGATGATAACTTCGGTGACCTGGCTGTTGGAAACTCCGAATCCTGTCATGCCAGCGGGGAGAGCCTTGGCGATTTCTGCGGAGGAAGCAGACTTCTTGTGACCATCGCGACGAACGGGGTAGGTGTTGCGAGCGGATCGGGCGGAGGCCAGCGCGGCGGCGGAGAGAGCTAGTACGGCGGAGAACTTCATCTTGACGGTTGGATGGTGTTGTCGTCGATTAGGGAGACCTTTCTTATTGTTGTTGAACAAGACACGACCCTTGTTCCTTCTCTTTTCTTTTTTTTAATTTCTCTTCTCGGAAGATTTGTTGGTATTGCGAGACTGCTGGAGCCCGTCGAGTTATAAAGGAGGAATAAAAGGGTTTAGTTAACGCTGGATGGCGAGGGCCTGCTCGTGACGAAGGAGATTGAACACGGAACCGGAAGAGAACGAAAGCTCAAAAAAGAATGTGTGAAGACACTCGGCGGATGAAGAAGAGATGGGGAGGAAGAAACAGAAACCTCTCAGACGACGAGGATCGGGGGAAGTGGGAGAGCTTAAATCGAGGCGAGTCGTCGTGGGCTCTGCGGCATGGATGGGCGCGAGCCATGTCGCATTATCCGTTCGTTATCCCATGTCTCTCTCTCGCTCTCTCTCGTTTAGTGGCCCCAGTGTGCTAGGTCATCCACAGGACATGGGACAGCCCCTTCCCGGCCCCAACATCGACCTCGACGAAACAGGACGAGAAAATCTTCCGCCAGCCCGTCCTGGAGTCATTGGGGCAGGCTTGCCTTGGAGCGCTAGGCCAAGCGCAAGCCAAGCAAGGCGCCCGGGGGTCCTTACTCTGGGCTCAGGGGGGAGGGGGAAGGTCACAGAGGAGGAGGGGATGGCAACGATGATGGAGAAGGTACCCATTAAGGTCGGCGAGCCAGGATCAAACGGCGTGGTAGTGAGGGCGTCGAGGGGCGGTTCGTTGCTCGGGGATGCAGCGTCCGATTAAGCACACGAAGCACAGGCCCACAGCGGCATTGCCATCCCAAGCTTGGTGCAAATAAAGAAGAAAAGCCAAGACGAGATGGGTGGGGTTTGGGTGGGTGGTAGCAGAGGGGGTGTTGGTAGGGGTAAAGGGTTGGGAGGAACCAGGGGGTGGGAACGGATGGATGACGGATGGAAGCAGAGACTTCTCACGACGAGGAGGGACGATGATGCTGCCAGCGGGCCAATGGACCAATAGACGCCTGTTTCTGATGTAAGTGACTGCATGTAGAGCAGTGTGAGGTAGGTGTGTGTGTGGCACGGGGAGGTGGGTGCTTCTGATGCAGTTGGTTCCAAGCCAGGGTGTCGCTGCATCGGCGATAGCTGGATAGAGAATTGACAGCATCAGCAGCAGGTACTGAGTAGACGAGCAGTTGAGGGTAAGGTAGGTACGGATAGTAACAGTGAGAGATGGAAAAGTCGGATGCACCACACAGGCTGCGGACTAGCGCGGTGAGGGAGGTGGAAGCTGTGACAGATTCGTCTCGAGTCGCGTTTTGGCATCTCGCTAAGGGGCCCCTGGCTGCCCTTCCCAAGACGGTAGTCGCTCGGACCCCAAGCGAGGTGCACCCCAATGGTTTTGCATGTCACGTTCGTCGTTACGCTGGGCTGGGCGGCCTCTTGTGTCTGTCTGTCTTGAGAACGGAAGCTTGTTGCATTGGGAGAGAGTTTGGATGGCTGTCAGTGTGACTGGTGTTCTGATGACATGTAGTCGATTTGATTGTTGTACATGTAGGTGTTGTTGGCCAAGCATCACTGAATCTGAGTATAGTATGCTAGTGCCAGCTGATCAGAGACAGAAAACCAACGATTTAGATTAATCGCCCAATGGACAGCCAGAACCGCGACGTTGGACCCTCCCCCGAGAGCCAAAATGCCCCGGGCAAGGCTTGTTGCCCTCTGTAAATTAACGCACCCGCTGTCTCGGGGGGTGCTAAACCTTATTGCGGCCAATTAAGGTGGTTGGACCCCCTGAACTGGCATTTTAGCTGCCGGAGCCACGGGATGGCGTCCTCCCCCCCACCCCCCCTTTGCGCCGTTGTTCCTGCAGGTACGGAGCCCTGCATCCAATCCAACCCAACTCTTTCTTCAACCTTACAACCTTAGACATCATTGAGGTGTCCCGTCTCCTGTTCTCTGGGAACCCGTCTCTTTTTAGGCTGCGATACGTATCCTTTTCTGTTATACACGTGCCCGCCTTTCAACAACCCCAACCCGCCAAGCGCATCCGTCCCCTTGAGTCTCTATCTCCGTCCCCATCGTCCCTGCATCTGTACCTTACCTTACTGAGTCTGCATCACCCCTCCTCCCAGTCGTTCTCGGTTTTCGGCTTCTCTGAACCTCACAGAGTATGAGCGGTGTTCCCTTCGACTGCACCCTCTCTCCAGCCAATGCCTATTCGTACCTTAATCCGCATGAGTCGGCACGGCTTGCCAGGCGGAGCCGTGTCTGCGTTCGATGTACATGCTGGGCGTGCAGCCGCCTCAAACGGCCACTGAAGACTGTGAAACAAGCCCGCCTCCCCCCCATCTCACTGTCTCTGTCTCTCCCTATCCCCTTCTCTGCCACATTCTCTCTAGACTCTCGCCCGTTGGGGGTACAACCATTGCAGTGCTCCATCCGCTCCACGTCCTCTGACCGCGGGCGAGTCTTCCCGGCCCACAACACCAAGAAATACCCAAGACCTCGTGTGTGATGGAGAACAAAACGAGACGAGACCGATCCAATCCAGTCCAGCCCAGCCGCCCCTCCGTCGTCATCCATAGTCTTAGCAGAGTCCCTGCCCTGCGTGCTCAGTGCTCCTGTCCACTCAACTTTGCTCATCTACCCGCCCTTGTCAGCAGCCACACGCTGTAACCGCAAACCACCCCATCCCAACTCTGAGCAACTCTTATTAGCAGACTAATTCCAAAAAATCCATGGACCCTGCTCGTCCAGTCTCAACACCGACTTGGCTGCCCACTGCTACCATTAACGCCCTGCTGCCACCGTTTGCCCAACCAGAGACTGAACCAGGACCTGACACAAGGCCATCGGGCGCTAGACATCGGCTTATTTCTCTTCCAGCACTGCCATCGTCTTGTCATTCCTTGGTCGCGCGCCAGCGAGAATGAGATAGCCTGTAATGCGACGTCCGGTTCAGCCTTCTCCCTCTCACCCGTTGCTGGCATCCTCCAGCAGCAGCACTTGGAGGTCTTCCTGTCATTAAACCTGATGTTGGTAGCGTTGTCGCATCTCGTCGCTCGGGGATCGACCGAAGGGAAACGGCACCGCGGCCCTCCTCCTGTCAAACCTCGATCCGCTGGATCCGAGCCCGCGCGTCGAACGACTCGACCACTGCACTGCATGCCATCCACGCGTAAAGTGATGAGTATCTCCGGACCGGAGGATCACCATGCTCGTTGTGCAGATTGACGGGTAGCCGGCCCAACAGACAGCCGCTGGGACGCATGGGTTGCCGAGCATGTCACGTACGTATGGCGCCAGGATGCGCAAAGGGCTTGCAGGCCGCATGAAGCCTTTGCGCTCAAGAAAGTCGCTGCAATCTGTTCTGATTTCCTCGGAAACATGTAGACCTCGCTAAACAGCCTGACGGGCCTTCAATCGCGAGCCCGAGGAGATCGGTGGACACTGCAACTCCACGTTTCTTTCCAAGTCCGGCTTGAGGCCCGGCTCCAATATTCCAATTACTACGGCAATGAACCAACCAATATGTCAACTAAGACCTCCCTATCGTTAATATCTCCCACGACACACGAGGCCATCTCGGCTACCTAAGGTAGGTTGGCACTAGTAGTGTCATCTCTTCTATCCCGCTATCCCGCGCTGTTAAGGCTCCTTTCGGATCTTGCTCCGCCTTGACCCCCATGCGTCTTACAACTTGGCTTGCAGAAGCGCGTAAATGTACACTTTGACGAAATGGGGACATGGGTCTTTTTTCCCTCCTGCTGCAGTGCGGAGAGGAGAAGATTGACCAAGCCTAGACCCGTCCACAGTGAAACAAAACGAACTCTTGGGCGAGAGGACAAGAGCGCGCTAATTGCTAAATTTTGTCGCAGCAGCCACGAGGTTTGCATGGTTGCATTGGGGCTCTCGAAGGACCCGCCAGCCCAAGTTCGCCCGACCCCGACTTGGACAACCAAAAGAATTCCTCCGTCCCAAGACCGACCATCTGGGCGCTGCGACTGCAGAAGAACGGATAAAATGGCGAATCAGAGCGCTGCTGACCGAAAAGCCTGCGCTCCTGTCGTTCGTGACACATGCCATGGCGAACCTCAGACAAGGAACGGTGTGGCGCCGTTGCATCATCGGATGATGGAACAGATCGTGTTACAGACTCGTCCTCCCGCACGTCGATCAGATAAACTCTCGCGCAGCCGCTTCTCAGGACGGTCGACCTCACCCCATTCCCCACACCACCCTGTCTTCCTTAACCCAGCTCAAAGGAGTCAACTCAGCCTCATTGTCGCGGCTCTTGTGTCTGCTGCTGTTGCTGCTGCTGGCCTTCGTAAAGGCCAGTGTAGTATCCGGCGTAGTACCAAGACATCAGTAGTCTCTTCAGTCCTTCGTCTTGCACTGCAGATCAAAACCACAAGGGCGTCCTGGTTAGTCACGGCTTCTTTCATCCTTTGGCAGAACGGGAGCGGCACTGGGCAGATTGCAGCCTCAACATTCCGAGTACGCAGGGCATTCATTACACATACCTGAGCCAAGTAGACCTTGCGGGCCCATTGTCGCAGGACTTGGGACGCTGCCGCTGCTGCCCGAGATAGGCTTTGCGATGGGCGCGCCAACTTTGGACTGAACCTGGAGCGGGCAAGGAATGCGTCAGCGGAAGCGAACAAGATGCAGGACAGATGGATGCCAAGCTTTTCTGATCTGCCTGGATTTCCTCTGGGGTGAATGGGTTGTTTTACATCCGTGCTGCCGCCCGCCCCTTTCGTTTCGTGGGCTACCTCTCCGTCGTCCACGATCTCAGCCTGATCGACCGCTTTCGTTTCTGAGTCGCCGGTCTTATGGGTCCTAGGAGATCATGGAATGTCAGAAATGATCTTGGTATTTCATAAATATGGAGGAGAGTCTGGTCATACTGGGATTCGGAGGTCTCCTGAAGATCGACGTCTTCGAGTCTGCCTCCCTTCGCGTGGATGCTGTGATACTTCTGCCCAGACGATCAGCCGCTGACACTCGTGGGGATGTTCTCCTGGCTCAGACGGGGGGCTCTCACCTTGTACTCGTTCAGAGCCTCATTCCAAGAGTCTATGAGGGCAGAATCGTCCCAAATTTCAGCATGCGTCATATCCATGTCGTTGCTAGGCATCTTGGTTGCTGTGTAGGAGCAGTCTCAATGACGGAGAAGCACGTGTCTGGGAAAATTGGGGAAATGAAGGCAGTGCAGGTCGAGCCTTTGGTCTGTCCTCGACTGTTCAAGTGCCAGAGGCAAGGATCAAGGCCTGGCTGACGGTGTTGAGTAGATAAAGTGAGTTTGAGAGGTGAGTGTGTGTGTGGACCGAGCGGTTCCTGTCGAAGCCGTGCGATTGATGCAAGGAATGAGGTTATTCTGGTTTCCTGGACAGGTTCCTCTTTGGTGCTGCAATTGCGCTCAATCGCTTTTGTTCGTCGGCAAGTTGAGTCTAAAGGCGCGGACGTCACCTTCGTCTGCTGCTACGGAACTGGGGCTAAACAACGGAGATGCTAGGTGAGATCAGGTGTTTTACTTCTTGGGCGTTGTCAGCAACAGACCGTATACTGACGGGAGCACTTAGGCGAGCAGTCCGGGTAAAGCGAAGGAAGATTCACCTGAATTGAGATGTGTTGTTGAAGATGACGAAGTTGTTGCGGCTCATTGACAGGAACCGAAATGGTCTTTCGAACGACAACCTGCACAGCGATTGAGCGAGCTCCTTAAGAGTTAAGCTTAGCGCGTCGCGGTGCTGAGAGCTGTCGGATTCGTCGCTCCTTCAGCACCGATGCCCCGCTAAAAGGTCCCTGGCCAGAACAGCCCGGGGCACCGTGCCAGCGGGGTGCTAGCTTCACCGCCCCCGTATCTGCGTGGCAGAATCCAGGAAATTTTTATTTTTTCGTTCTTGCGATAGGTACTCGATCGCTGGTGCCACCGATTTGTCTACACTCAACAGCATCTCCAACCAGTCACAAATATGGCCCCCGAGTTGAGGAAGAGAACCAGATGTGAGTTATAATCTCTCCGCGACCTCAAACTTCAAACTCTTACATTAGTACAGCGGTCACTGCGGCCGAGAACGCGCCTGCGGCCAAGAAGGTCACCAAGGCCGAGAAGGTCGAGAAGACCGAACCTGCGCCCACGAAGGCCAAGGCTGAGAAGGCCAAGGCTGAGAAGGCCAAGGCCGAGAAGGTCGAGAAGGTTGAGAAGAAGGCCACTCCCAAGCGCAAAGGTATAGAACATCGTCGGTATTCTTTCGCGCATTGGCTAACAACCAGTTCTCCAGCCCCCGAGGAGGCCTCGCCCGTCGCCGCGAAGAAGCAGAAGCCCGCGAAGGCCACCCCCAAGACCACCCCGAAATTCAAGAAGGCTGCTGCCAAGCCCGAGCCCGCTGAAGAGCCAGAGCCTGAGCCCGAGACCACCGAGGTCGTCGAGGAGGAGGCCGAGACTTCTGTTATTCCTGTCGAGGATGGCGGCGACTCTGACGAGGAGATCGATGCCGACATCCAGGCACTCGCGGCTGGGTTGGACCCGGAGGACGCGCCCGAGGCTGACGGAACCCTCTTCAAGGAAGGCCAGGACGTGGGAACGATCCCCAAGATCAGCAAGAAGCAGAAGAAGTCCATTGGAGGATCAAGCGAGGAGCCCGGCGTGGTTTTCATCTCGAGACTGCCCCATGGTTTCTACGAGCACGAGTTGAAGGGCTACTTCTCTCAGTTTGGCAAGATTAACAGGCTGAGACTCGCCCGCAACAAGAAGACGGGCGCAAGCAAGCACTGGGCTTTCATTGAGTTCGCCGAGGAGAGCACCGCCCAGATTGTCGCGAAGACCATGGACAGCTACCTGTTGTTCGGCCACATCCTCAAGGTCAAGACCGTCCCCAAGGAGTCGCTGCACGAGAACCTGTGGAAGGGTGCCAACAAGCGCTTCAAGAAGATCCCATGGAACAAGATGGCTGCCAACGAGGTCGCGAAGAAGAGAACGGAGTCGACTTGGGCCCAGAAAGTCTCTAGGGAGGAGAAGAAGCGCGAGGAGCGTGCTAAGAAGCTCAAGGCGATCGGATACGAATTCGACACCCCCAACCTGAAGAAGGCCGTCGCGCCGCCGCCTGAGCCTATGGCTATCGACGCTCCCGAGGAGCCCAAGGCCATTGAGGCAGCACCGGCTGAGGAGAAGCCTGCTGAGGAGGAGGCTGCCCCTGCGGCGGAGGAAGAGGCAGCGGAGACGCCCAAGACCAAGGCAAAGGCGAAGAAGGGCGGCAGGAGAAAGTCCAAGAACTAAACTCCTTCATGATGTCCCGCGTCACGAGTGTTGTTTGAAAAGTTGTTCAGCATATTTCTGCTGCATTTAATGCTTGGGGAGTCCATCAAAAAAGGGTAATCACTGGGATGTGTACGCGCATAGCGAACCCGTCGCACCCATTCAAATTGGGGCAAGCGCCGGGATTATAAAAGGCGAATCTACTCTGCTTCAGCGTCAAAAAAGACCAAGTCATTGATTAAATGGGCTCGATCAAGAATTATGTCAGCGAAGGGTAAAATATGTGAAGAAGAGAAGAAGAGATGGAAATTTTCGTCACGAAGCAGAGCCTCTTGAAGGTCTTGCAGCTGATAAGATAACGCTGAGTCAGCAACCGCAATGGGTCCATCGTCGCAGCTGTCGGCGCGCCAACCTGTTTGTGGTCGCCAGTCACCGATGCACCTCGTAAAGCAGGGTCGTATCTCTCAGTCATCTGCGCCATGCATTTCGTAATTGCTTGTATTATCTCATGTGACCAAGTACGGGAATTTAACTGAAGAATAACATTGGTTACCTCATTTGCAGAAAGCCATTTAAAGTCAATGTCAGACTGCGAGACCAAGGTGTGATTCGTGTTGGTCAGTTGACCAATTGTCGAGGCCGTCGTTTCATCTATCGATCCTGTTCTGATACAATGCCAGGACACTGTATAAGTTACAAGTCAACTTAGATTACTCGAAGGGAAAAGCAGTCAAACCTACTGATTCACAAAGAAATAACTCAAAGACCCTATCGAGCGAAGCACGTTTCAATTGAGACTTGAGAGAAAAACCGTTAGTGCTCAGCAAACGGTTGGCGCTAGACGCGCTGTCCTTAGCTAATACTTATCGTTATCGGTGCTTTTAGTGGAGCTTTCCGACCAGTGTGGGGGACCGGGGGGGGCAGTACCTTCCGCGTGTGAAGTGAACACGCTCGCTAATTTGCGAACCTAGCTTACGTGGTGTAAGTACATACCAACCCGCCCGATGCCAAACTAGACATCTTGCAACCTCCCGACGAACCTCGAAGAAATAGCCCATTCCACCCAGCGTATACCAGCTCAAAGGGCTCTGCGCACCTTCCGATGCATTTGAGAAGCCAATATGTCGGCCGCCGCTCCCTCTAGTGACCCGGTCCAAAACGCATCTTCAGGTTCGCCGATTGAATCCACCCCTCGGAGGCAAATGATGCGATCGCAGCGCTAACCTGTCTGGCCACGCTTCTAGGGAAAAAGAAGAACAACAAGAAGAAGAAGAATGCAAACAAGCCCAAGGAACCGATAGAAACCGACAGCACTACCCCGCAACGCGACGCTGCCGAGGATGGCGATGATGAGCCGGAGACCCCGGTGCAGGTGATACTCCCTTGTGTCGTTGCCTTTCTAGCCTAGTTGATCTGACTGCTGTTGCAGGACGCCGCACCCACGGAAGAGTCCAGCCCTGACCAGACCGCAGACAAGGACACAACGGCCAATGGCCATACCGAGAGGCCGACGAGTAATGGACATGCGAACCCGCCGATAGAGAAGCCGACAGACGAACCGGGAGCTGGGGGAGATGCCACCGCGAAACTAGACGCCCTCACAAAGGAAAGAGAGGCACTACGAACAGAGGTCGAGACACTGAGGAAGCAGCTGGAGACAATTCAAGGAACGCACGATGAAACCATCTCAAATCTCAAGACTGAGCTGGAGGAGACGTCATCGGCCAAGGAGCAGGCGGAGGAGCAGTACCAAAGCCTGTTGGAACGTGTCAATCACCTCAAGTCGACACTCGGCGAACGTCTGAAGCGCGATCGAGCCGAACTCGAAGAGGCCAAAGAGCGAATCGAAGAGCTCGAGGCGCAGAACGAAGAGCTGCAGAATGGCTCGAGAGCATCTGAAGATGAGCTTGCTAAGCTCAAGGAGGAGCTGCAGGATACCTCGCGCGAGGCGAACAGCCTGCGCAGCCGCAGCAATTTGTCTCAGCAAAACTGGGTGAAGGAGCGAGAAGAGCTGACACGAGTGGTGGCTAGCCTGAAGGAGGAGGTGGAAACAACGACAAATGCAATGGGCGAATGGGAAGTCATCGCCATGGAGGAACGATCCGTCAAGGAGAGCCTAGTAGAGAAGGTATCGGAACTGGAGGAGCAGATTCACAGCCTTAGAGAGGGCTACGAGAGCGCCGCATCCGAGCGAGATCACCAGTCGCAGGTTATCGACAACTTGCAGAAGGCGTTGCGCGAGATCCAAGAAGCGCGGAAGAAGGAGCTGCGCGAGATGGTCGAGACGTCAGAGGAGCAGCTCCAGGCCCTGAAGAAGCTGGTCCAAGATGCGGACGCCAGAGCCACGGAGGCCGAGACCGCCAAGGATAACCTCACCAAGGAGCTTGAGCGGACAGCGCCGTTCGAAAAGGAGGTCAAGGAGAAGAACCTTCTCATCGGCAAGCTGCGACACGAGGCCATTGTACTCAATGACCATCTCACAAAGGCCCTCCGCTACCTGAAGAAGACGAAACCTGAAGATAATGTTGATAGGTATGTTGCATTCACCAGCCTTCGCCATTACAGCCTACTAATTCTGCCTTAGACAAGTCGTCACGAATCACATGCTCCACTTCCTCACTTTGGACCGCGGAGACCCCAAGCGCTTCCAGATCCTGCAAGTCATGGCCGGCTATCTCAACTGGAACGACGAGCAGCGCGAGCAAGCCGGGCTCGCTCGGCCCGGCACCTCGACAAACAGCCTGCGCTTGCCAGCTTCCCCCTTCCACCGCACGCCGAGCACGCCATCCCTCAGCGCAGAGTTCTTCTCGGATACGCCCACGTCAGCCAACAAGGAGTCGCTCGCCGACCTGTGGGCTGGCTTCCTGGAGCGCAGCGCAGAAGAGGGCCTAGACCAGGCTGGAGCGCCGCGAGACCGCAAAGACAGCGCCAGCAGCGCGGCAACGAGGCCTGACACTCGCGGCGGATAGAGGCCGTCATCGTGGTACGGTCAGTCGTCTCGCGAGTGACGAGAGACGGGCAAGCGGGGCTTCTTTTGGGTATCGAGAAACTCAGCGTGTTTCTCACGAAATGCATACCGCCGCGCTGTGACGATATCCAGGCAGCCGGCATGTTATACACATGTTATATAAAGAAAAAAAACCGGCGTTGTTAGCGCTCGCGTGGGAGGGCAGGCATTCAGATGAGCGGGCATGTAGCATTGTCGTTGTTCAGGGGGAAAGGGGGGGAGAGGACTTGGTTCACGAAGACGGGAGGGCAAAGCCGGGGGGTTGTGGCGATGAGAATGGTCCGATCCAATAGGAGAGGAGGCAACGGGAACACTTTGCGCATTACCGGCCCTAGAGGCGTATTAAAAATAACATGTTTCTCTTCTGGACTGCACAAGCATTCATAACGTGTCTGCATTAGTGGGGGGAAAAGGACACATTTGTCCTGCGTCTTAACACTGTCTATGTCTCTAGTCTACGGCAAGCCTACTGCGCCTGCTCTTGGCCCTGTTCCAGAGGCGAAAACACGCTGTTGGCATAGTTCTCGGCATCGGCAGTGATGGTCTGGATGTTGATACGGTTCTCGAGAGCATTGTTCACCCCCTCGATGACCTCCCGCTCCTCCATCACCTCCCTGACGAGCCGCACCTCGTGCAGCCAGTACGCCTGGCTCCTGGTTCTCAGCTCCTCGTCCCTCAGCGTGGTGTTCTTGACGATGCCGAGGGCGTTCATCTTGCTCCGGACGCTGTTCAGTAGGCGGTTGCTCGCCTCGACGCGCTCCGCCTCGGAGGGCGGCTGCAGGAAGGCGCGGCGGGTGCTGGAGAGAAACAGCAGGCCGCCGAGGCCGACGTCGAGCAGCGCGAGGGCGACGTAGCGCAGGGCGCGGGCCTTCCAGTAGAAGAAGTCGATCTCGGGCAGGCGCAGGGCGGAGGCGTTGGCCGAGTAGTCGTACTGGTTCACCAGGCTCAGGTCGGCGATGCAGAGGGCGGCGGCGGCCATGGTCGCGTAGCTGCGCCAGCGCGCGCCGTCGCGCCCCGTGATGGTGCCGGACGTGACCACCGCGATGACGACCAGGTTCAGCAGGTGGAGGAGCACGATGGCGGGCAGGGCGTAGTAGAAGTAGCTCTTGGGCTCGTCGGACTTGCAGAAGGGGCAGTCGGCGAGCGCGGCGGGGCCGAGGTAGAGGTACAGCAGGCGAGACTCGAGGTTGACGAAGCGGGCGCGCAGGCGCTCGTCCGCCTGGGTGAGGAGGCCATCGGGACGAAGCGAGGCGAGGCGGGTGAAGAGGACGTCGACGGGGATCTGCAGGCGGGACTGGGTGAGGGCGAAGACGTTTTCGGGCGCGAAGGGCGGGAGCGTCTTTGCGAGGTAGAAGAGGACGAGGACGGTCAGCACGCCGAGGGCGCGGGCGACGTGAGGGGGTGGGGGAACCGGCTCGGCGCGGTGTTGCGAGGCGGTGCGGATGGAGCGGTAGGCTGAGATTGCCTTTGGGAGGAGGATTGGGCCGAAGACGAGGAGGAGGGAGCGCAGTCTGAAGTCGCAGAGTGTTAGTAGTTGTTGGTGGTGATGCACGTTGAAGTGGACAGGGTAGCTTACTCGGCCCAGCCAAAGGCCATGATGGGCGGTTATGACACGGCTGGCGTGTCTTGCCCTCTACAAACTGTACCGAAAATACAGAGACGCAGAATCGCCTAGAGTCTCGCAGCGGTATAGAAGCTCGAGAAGGCTGAGAGAACTGTCTTCTTTGGAAAGTTGGAGGGGTCAAGGCGTAAGGCTGCCCGTGTTCCAAGGACACGGGTAAGATGGGTTTAGTTTCCGCCAAGAAACCATGCATGGCTTACCTAAGGGTGAGATACTCCAGGCGACAGAAGTTAGGAGCTTTGTCCGGGGCAGGGATTAGCTGGCTTTGGCGGCCCCGGGTGACGGCACGATGATGTATCCCCTGCAGGTACGCCCAGAGCTCTGGTCGATTGGGCACGACGACGTTACAAAGCCCGCCATCAGCAATGTCAGCGCTACTACTACAGCAGACGAACCCGGCAAAATTGGCACGTTTAGTCAAAGGCCAAGTTGGTTGTTGAGCATAAAGATTAGGGATTATGCCACTCGTTCTCTGTATTGTACATCAAGCCAGTCATTCGTCGTAGCTGCTTGCTCGCTATGCTTTTTTCTGTTCATCTGATGTCCTTCACTCGATCTTTTCCGCCTACAGCTCCGCGGATCCTTCGCCCCCGTCGTAAATGAAGTAGAAAAACAACAAACTTTTTTGTTTTGATATCCCAACTCCGCCCGATGATAAATATGCCAATGAGAAAAATGCATCGAAAAACAATGGCTAAAGTCTGAAAATGCCCATGAGTCGCTTTTTTGGTTGATATTTTGTCGTCGTGCGTCGAATGCCGTTCACATGCATTCATAGCTTGCGTCCAAACATGAAGGACCCGTACATGCCCCCGACTTCGGCGCGCGCGACCGGGATCTTGCGCATGCCCCAGTTGTCGGCGCCCATCTTCCACCATCGATAGCCGCGATCGCTATCCTTGCGGTGGTCCTGGAGTCGCACCATCCAGCATCGGCTTCCGATCTCCTGCAGGGACCAGCCGATACGCTCGAGGACTCTGTTCCGGGACAAGCTCTTGAACGATTGCTCCGAGACCTCCACCACCTCTAGCGGCGCCGAGCTCGGGCGAAGCAACGAGTTCCGAGTCGAGAAGAGGTCGACGAGGTCGAGCTCGCTGCCCCAGAGGTCCGAAAGGTCGAGGTAGCGCAGCGTGTGGGGCTCCTCCTCCTTCTCGGGGTCCGCCGGCTCAAGAAGCTTACCGGCGGCATTGACGTCCATGTTGCGCCCGACGGCCAGTTCCTCGAGGTACTTGGTCAGCGGTCGCAGCAGGTCAATGTGGATATCGTCCATGCGACTGCCCTTCAGGCTCAAGGACCTGAGGGTCTTGGGCAGCACCGGGATGAGCTGTGTTACATCCTCCACATCCAAGAGTTGGTGGCTCCGAGCATCGGTGGCCACGCTGAGGTAGACCAGGTTCTTGACCGCCGGGTGGTTGGCAAGGAAGTCAATAACGGCAGGTGCTGTGAGCAGAGTGCACTTGGCAATGTTCAAGTGGGTGATCTTGGCCGTGACCGGAATGGACTGCAGCGCGCGGTCTGAGATCTTGGTCTGGGCAAGGTCCAGGTGCGTGATGTTGGTTAGGCGCGGGAGGATTTTCTCGAAGAGGGTAGAGGGGAGTGTCAAGCACTTGTGGAATGATAGTCGCGTGACAGACAGCATGTCGGGCCAGTCCATGGCTACCAGTGATGTGAATGAGTTCTTGAAAGCCGGCGAGGTGCATCCGGCAAAGTCAAGAGCCTGCAGCCTGGGCATGCCAAAGAAGAGCTTCCGCAACACGTCCGCGTCGAGATCGTCGTCAATGTGCTCCATGGCGAGGAACTCCTGTAGATGAGGCGTCAATTCCAGTGATTGCACCAGTGTCTCGGCCGTCAGGTTCCTGGTGGTCTTGCGCTCGCTAGCAGACTCGAACAGGGTCGCATTGTTGAAGTGGCTGAAGTCCATGCGCCGTACAATGGTGCCCAGCGCAGGGTACATTGTGATGTTGGACAAGAACTTGCGGAAGATTCTCGAGTGTGGGATGGTGATGTGCTTGTAGAGGGTGTTGAGCGTGGCGGCGTGGAGTGTCCTGGAGGTCATAAGAAGCGCCATGAGATCGACGTTGCGGCGCGCGGTGCCATATGGCGGGGGGATATCGAGGACTAGGAGCTCGATGATGGATCCTATGAAGCATTAGTGTTGTCCCTGGTGGTCCAAGAACACCTGGTTCGACTCACCTAAGATCTCGAGAGGAAGCCTCTCCATGGGTGCGCGGCCGCCAACATGCTTGTCCTTGACCTTGGGGGAAGCTGGAGGAGTGCTCCAGGACATGCGCAGTGCCTGGAGGTCGCTGAAGCTCCGGCTGGCTGTCTTGCCCTTGACATCGATCTGCTTCCAGCCCTTGAAGCTGTTGGCAGGATACCAGCCGCCATGGAGTCTGCTGTTGGGGTGGGTGACAGGAGGAAGGAACTGGACTTCACCCATGTCTAGGGACGGGGAGGCCAAAGGGGAAGGAGAGTTGGAGGAAGAGTCAAAGACAACGGCGTCGTTTGCTTTCTGTGCGTAGGAAGAGACCTTCGAGGAGGTGAAAGTCTGCGCCAAGTCGGAGTCGTTCTCGCGGATGGATGAGAAAGAGGACCTGCCGTTCTTTTCTGGGGTATCAGGTCGGTGCGGCTCCGGGTTGTCCATTTTGTATTTGGTCTGGGCCTGGAGAGACGGAGAGCCGTTGTGGTCGTGGCCGAGACCGTGACTGTGGCCTGTCGGAGAAGGGCCTGGGGGGGTGTGGTCCTGGTCCGGAGTCTGGGACGACGAGGTCTGCGAATGGGGTACAGGCAGGAGAGGTAGAGGGAGAGGTAGAGCAGAAGGTCGCGGAGTAGCCATGGCTGCAGGAAGTTTACTTTGACCTTGAAGGTCCGTCCGGGTCGCTGCGCTTGTTGTTTCAATTGTTGCACGACACACCACCAGCAAAAAACCACACGAACCACTCCAACGCACACACGCTCGCTTGCTGGGTTGTCTGTCGCGCGCGTGCCTGTCGCTGTCAAGCTGGGGTCTTGGGGTGTGAAGAAAAAAAAAACCAAACCAGCTACCCCGTTTAAAGTAGTCGTGCTGCCCTGCAAGCGCAAAACGCAAGTAACTCGAGGTTACCGACTTTGCTGCAAAAGCACAAGGCCGGGGGCCCGGGACCGTCGATAGAGCAAGCCTCAAGGGCTTTTCTATTAGTCAAAGACCGGGACTTTTAGGTAAGAGGAAGCTGCCGCGATGCGGGGAAGATGGTGGTTTGGCGTGTTCAGGTGGTCCAACCTCAACGTTCTGAAGTGTAACACTGAAGCCAAGTGACAAGTCTGGAGTACGAATAGAGACGCGGCGCAATCCAAGATTCTTG